CTATCTTAAGATTCAAATCCTATAAACTCATTCAACTATCTTCCTTTTCCTGTATTACTCTTGGCACTCAATTAAGACTGCTGAAGTCTATTGTACTTTGTACTTTCACATTCTCAAAAAAGATTATAAAATGTGCATAAACATTGTGTAAAATAATTTTGTCATTTAACATATTTGGAGAGATGAGATTTCTATTACCAGAATTTACATAAGGATAAATATTATGAGTCAAACTTCCTTTTAAAGTCAAATGACAAGAAAATTCAAGCCCCGTGCATTGTTTTAAAGTCTAATGAGAACATTTCATGGGCCACCAGTATTGGCAATCTAGAAAATTTTAAATATTGGATAAGGGGCTATGGAGGAAAACATGAAAATTTCAGATGTCTCCTATCTTACAGAAAGTTATCAACCTGTCCAAAGTTATCAACTCCCTATGTGCCAGAAAATGATCTGGCATAAACCAGTCCCATCAGTAGAGGAGGTCACAGTGACATTTACATTATTAACACTTCTGAACTTCTACTTTTCCAAGAACGGAAGCAATATGTTTAACAATTCCCCCTCCCCCAAATCCTTAAACTCATTATCACAGGCACAGAAAATAAGCAAATCTGGGATGTTCTCCAACAGATAAGCAGTAGCACAGCTATGTTATTCTCAAAAATACTGTCTAGATATTCTTTCTTATATAATCAAATGCTCCGTGGCCACGCTTTTAACAGTCTACATTAGCTGACATTAAATGCACTTATTGTGCCACGAGTCCATCTAAGCTTCCTTTTAGGTTTTTTTTAATATGTCCAAGAGACAATACCTGCTTCAGGTTTATCTTTAGGGGTATTGACCTATAAGGACATCAACTCCCATTTTTAAGGTTAGACTAACTATTGTGGGTTTACTGAAGAAAAAGGACAGGAAAAAAAAGTAAATCACAACAAACCTCTTTAGGTCAGTTAAAGGCCATATCTCTAGCTGGGATATTAAAAAAAATTAATCTCACCAGCCACACTCTAAAAGTTAATGCCACTAATAACAATCAACAGGAGGAAAAATAAACCTGCTAACAACCAGTCCACTCATTAGCAAAAAGCAGTTTAACTCAAATACTGAGACCAAAGTAAAACACTACCTACCCAAACTGTCCCAACCACCCTCAGCGAGGAAGAAAAGAAATAACTGCTTAAAAAAACAAAATAAGCTTAGTACTTCTTACAAGGATAACAATGGTCCAACTCCTGAGACAACACTCAGAAGGACAAAAGGTGGAGTGAAGGCAATGTCTAGGGATTAGTATCCCACAGTCTTGAAAAACCCAAAGTACCACAAACACACTACACTTGTCTTTGAATTAGAGAACAAGATATTGCTGCTGTTTCTTTCTGTCTTCTGGTATATACAACATTTTGTAGGCTCTGCCCTTCAATGTGAAAGCAGGACGTTAAAAAAAAAAAAAATTGACACTGACACCCAAATTTTTGGGACCATATATATCTTAACTGTGAAACCAAACAGATCTATACCTCCTCCTTCCTACAATCAAACCACCTCACAAAAATAAGAAAACTAAAACAATCCAAACATGATTAATTTTAAAGTCCTTGGAAATATTAAACCTTTTTTAGAGGAAAGAAAAAGAAAGAAAGGAGGACAAACAAGAACAAGAAGGGAGGGGGAAAAGAAAGAGGGGGGAAAAAATCAATGGGCCTCTCTTTTATTTGGCGACAAGCAAGTGCAAGAAAGTTCATTTCTAATTTGTTCAGTTGTCTGTCTTTTGCACATCTGCATTCTGGCCAGAAGGGACTTTGAGGTTTTTCTGCAACACATGAGCATCTGCTGGCTCTATCCTCTTAGAGTAGTTCTTCTTTGTCTCAATAATCTCAAAGCCAAACTTCCTGTAGAAGTCAATTGCCGACTCATTGCTGATCTGGACATGCAGATAGATGTTGTCAAAAGTGCCATCTTTTTCACAGATGTTTAAGACATGATTTAACATTTTAGTTCCTATTCCTAGCCTTCGGTACGGTGCCAGACATCCTAGTGTCATGATGTAAAGTCTCTTCTGATTCTGTGAATGATCCACCCTACAGCATACTGCACCTACTGCAATATCATTGAAATAGGCAAGTTTTGCTAGCTCGCCAACCTCCAGCACATCCTTGTAGAACTTGTCATCGTAGCTGACTGGAAAGATGACCTGGTTTAATCTCTTCAACTGTTTAATATTGTGTGGTGTCACATCTCCCCGCTCGATCCGGCTACCTTTCATCTTCCCCGCCTGCTGAGGCCGTTGTTACCAGCCATATCAACGCTGTTGTCGTCGCCGCCCTGAGCTCTCCGCGCCCTCAGCTCGGGCCACTCAACCCCCACAAGCCGGCCTCCCCGCCTAGGGCAGGGAGCTGAGCGGGTGACCGAGGCTGTGAGAGTCAAGTGCAGCCCTGCGTCTCCGAAGGGGGCGGGGGTGTCTCCCGCCACCGCGCTGTGCCCCCGCTTCTCCCTAAACTGCTGCTTCTGTGCTGTGTCTCTGTGGGCTCTTTGTGGTGCTATCTCTTTAAGGATAAGGACTCAGTTTCCTCTTGTCCTCCATCCTCTCCCAGAGCTGAGCCACTGATTTTTTAAAATTCCAGGGGCACCTGTCTGGGTCAGTCAATAGAGCATGTTTAACTCTTGATCTCGGTGTTGTGAGTTCGAGCCCCACGCTGGGTGTAGAGATTACTTAAAATAAAAATCTTAGGGCCTCCTGGGTGGCTCAGTCAGTTAACCATCAAACTCTTGATTTCAGCTCAGATCATGATCTCAGGATCATAAGAGGGAGAAGCAGACTCCCTGCTGAGCAGGGAACCCAATGTTGGGCTCAATCCCAGGACCCTGAGAACATGACCTGAGCTAAGGCAGAGGCTTTACTGACTGAGCCACCCAGGCGTCCCTCTCTCCCTATCCCTCTGCTCCTCCTCCCCTGTCCCCCCCCCCACACTCTCTCTCTCTCTCAAAATAATAATAATAATAAAATTTAAAAATAAAATAAAAATCTTAAAAAATAAATAAAAATAAAATTCCAGGCTTTAAGTCCTGCTGGTTGTAAGAACTCATGAAATTTGGCTCCTCTAGTTTTCAGAACCAAATATTATGGGGATTCATCTGCCCCCATGTGGGCTCTCCGGTGTAATTATCTGTTTCCCTCCCTTCTCCACAGCTCCCTCCCCACCCAACCCCCCTCTCCCTGCATACAGCAGTGGTCTGTTCACCTCCCCACTGCATCTCTGCCCTTGCTACCCTCTTCAGTGTGACCTCTTCTCTACCTTTAGTTATGGACTTTGTTCTTCCAGTCTTCAGGTCGTTTCCTGGGTTACTTAACACTGATGAGAGAGTCATCTGTTGTAACTCCCATTGTATATCTATTGATACTCCCATTGTATCTATCAGACAAGGTGAGCTTAGGGTCCTCCTACTTCGCTATCTTCCCAGCAATCTTCCAGATGGGTTTTTAAATCAAAGATTCTTCTATCTGCAATCTAAATAAAAATTGTTCACATTCAGGAGGAAGTTAGTAATACCAGCTTCCACATGCCATTCTAATCCTGGAAAATACAGAGGAAGGTGTTCAACTCAATAATGGATGGTACAGCCTAATGAATGTCTAACATTCAAATACCAAATGCGGTCACATGGAAGTAGAGAAAATGTCATAGAACACTTCTATGAAGCCATTAGTTTTTTTTTTTTTTTTACTCTACCTGTACTTTTCATACATAGCAAACAAGACTTTTCCAAAATTAGTATTTTTTTTTAAAGATTTATTTATTTATTTATTTGAAAGAGAGAGAATGAGAGAGAGCACATGAGAGGGGAGAGGGTCAGAGGGAGAAGCAGACCCCCGCTGAGCAGGGAGCCCGATGCGGGACTCGATCCCGGGACTCCAGGATCATGACCTGAGCCGAAGGCAGTCGCTTAACCAACTGAGCCACCCAGGCGCCCCCCAAAATTAGTATTGAGATTCACAAAAATCAACAAAAGCCAGATGAAAACCTAACATTTACTGAAGTATCATAATATTTTCATATCTAACACTTACTGAATTAATATCTAACATTACTATGTTAAGCACGTTGCCTGCATTATCTCGTTTACCCATTTGATTTAATCCAGCAGATGCTTTTATTATTCCCTGTTTTGCAGATGAGGAGGGTGAGCCTTGGAAAGGTTCCATAACTAGCCCAAGATCATAGTGTCAGTGACCACTCAATTCTACTGCCTTCCTACAGAATGCCACCAATGAAATTAAAATGAGGCTTGTAAGAGTCACTTATTACCCTGTACCTAGCAAGCCTTCCTCCTATGCAGAACCATCTCTCTCCCTCTGGTCCACCCTAGAAAGGCAGGCTGCTGCATATGCAGGGGTAGTGGTCAAGATCACAATTCCAAGCCCTCGAAAACAACTGTAAATTAAACTCTAAGCCCCAGGAATTATAAGCAACCTGCCCCCAGGTGACACAGTTAATTGATGATAGAGGCCGACGTGAACCCCTGGGCTCCTGGCTGACTACTATGATTTCCCATTTCATTGAGGTACCTTGCATCTTTACCTGAATCAGTTTTAAGATAAAGACTTCTAAACTCAGAAAACCAACAGCTACCACTTAACCCATTTTTTACATGAAAAGCAGTGTTTGGGCTCAGGAATCATTTAATATGAATCATAAAATGAGACCATTATATCCCTACTGCTTTAAAATGCAGTAATCATAGTTCACTTGGACTGCATTTCTGAAGGTAATGGAATTAAGTGAGTTTTTAAGTTGAAAACTCCACCCTCAGCAATCTGTTGCTTTGCCTTTTCCTTGTCTACTCTGCGTTATAAGGTTATTCATGAGACACTTATTACTGTGGGAAATTTTGCACTTAGACGTGTCTTGAGTGGACCTGAGATCCCTTCAGCCTCTTCTCCAGGACCCTCTCTGACATATGATGGCCTAACCGTTATCTGTCTGTCCTCCATCTAGCATGGCACCACGCTCCTCATGGTCGCCTCCTATGCTGGTCACATAGACTGTGTGAGGGAACTGGTTCTGCAAGGAGCAGACATCAATCTCCAGAGAGAGGTAGGTGAGGTTTACACTTGAATAAGAATGACCCAGGTGACAGAGAGTCGAAATTTTTACAGTAGTGAATTGGTAAGGAAGACAAGAGTAATCATTGCTTTTTTCCTACATGACGATGAAGCCCAGATTGCAGACTTTACTGTGCCTAAAATAAGGCCCAGGAATGGACCATTGGTTCTACTTCAATTGAATGAATGTTCTCAAGCATGTGTTGTAGTCTGAGGTAACCAAACCTCTAACCACATTCCCTAAGCACTCCTACATTTCCTCCCAAGCTTAAATCAGGTCTTCCTTCTTCCCTTGGGATGAGGTGCTATAGAAGTTATAGGATTTTCACAGAGATCATTGTATTTTTAGAAGGATTGGGTCACCAACCTATTCTGAATGAGGCTCACTTGCTAGACTCTCTCAGCCTTCTTCGTCAAACCATGATTTCAAAGGACTTCTCTGATTGGCCACATATTAAATAAGCTCTCCCCAAAAAGGCCATGTGGTGAACATTGAACTAAAATGTGAGCCTGTCCCTATGCTTCATTCAAAAGCCATCTTGGGAGTTCAGTCTGGCTAGAGGATCCATTCTTGGTCCAATGAAGAAGAGTGGTGGGAGGCTGGGCCTTTTAACATACTTTGGGAGTCTGATCTGAGGGGAGTCCATTTATTTCCAAGCTGATCTAGGGCCTCTAGGTCATCCCTAAAGTGAATTTGACCTCTCAGTCCACACTAACTCAGACCCAAGATGGCATCCTGGGGCAAGCTCCAAACCAAACTGGAGCTCTTGATTTTCCTTGATCCAGTCTTATTCGGGGGCCTGCCCTACAATTGTTTCAGAAAAGATGAGTCATCAACCAAACTTTCATCAATCAGTACACCCCATCTTCCAGGCTGGACTGCTCCCTCTGAGTGGAACAAATTTGGAAACCCCAGATGTGAGGGCTGGATATTCCGTGGGGCATGTAAAGTCCCTCCCCTTTCCCCTCTGGGTGTCACCTTGGCTGTGGACCATGGAAGAGTGACACTTGATGGATAGAATCTGGAGTCTGGTTCTCCATAGCCCTGGACCAGCAAGTCTGATCTATCAAGAGGAGCCATACAGACTATAGCAAATCCAATCTCACAGACAGATTCTTCTGAGCAATTTTCACAACACTGGAGCATTGTTTTAGGCCCTTTTTCACATCAGCAGCTAATTTCCTTCTGGGAGGAAAATGTTTGGGCCCATTTAGAATTATAGTTTGAAATTACCCTAATCTTTTTGTTTTTCCTTTATGCTTCACAGTCTTGGTTTATTATAACTTTAAAGAATAGACAGATTTTTCTCTAATAAAAACAATATGATTTAGATCTGCTTACTCAAAAAACTTTATCCTGAAGGGCAAGTTCAACACACACAAAAATATCTTCAGAACAATTGTGAAAAGCTGAGAGAAAAGGAACATTTGTTTGCTTTCCAGCCAATGTATGGTTTATATGGTTTTATATTTATCTGTTTGGTTCCAACTGCTCGACTAATATTCTTGGATATGAAAACTATTGTGCATTGAACAAAATGGCCCTCAAGGACTTACCAAAGTGTACCCAATTTAGAGGTAACCGTGTGGCTCAAATAATGATGCTATGTGAGTTCCCAGTGGTCTCCTGAATTTCCCGAGGCCATGTCAGCCTCCAGTGATAGAGCTGCCAAAGAGAGGCCCCAGCCTCACCTCATCTGTTTTGCAATCAGAGAGTACCTAGCCGTGCTATGGAAGTTACTCATATAGCAGGCTTCTACCTGGGTTCATTCTTAATCCACTTTTCCAATTAACCCATATCAAAATACTTTGTTTCCTAAAAAAAAACAACAAACAAACAAACAAAAAACTTTGTTTCCTGAAAAAGTACCTGTCATTGTTTTCTTTGGGTGGCTATCTAGGTACACAGAGCTTGCAAGAACAGGAGGCTAATGATCCAGAGAGACCATTGCTCTAAAGAACCAGCAATATTGGCTAAAATTCTCAGGGATAGGAACTATGTGTGCAGTTGTCATGAAGCCCTGGGTTACAATAGTAAAGCACATGCTTTTAAGACTTTTATTCACATTCCAGACTGAAGTCTGGTTCTTTTGTCCACAGATTGCCACATTCATGTGCACAATGATTAATGGTACGTGTATGTTCCAAAATTGACTCAAACTGCTATGATATGATTTTTTAATTAATATATCACAAAATCTTAGTGAAAAATCCTTTTTCTTAGTGAAGAAACAATTTCTAGAAATTATCTCTGGTAGTGTCTAAAATTTAATGTCTATTAAGATGAGAGTTTTCCTATGCTAGCCAAGTTTCTTCATCCAGACCTGTTTACATCTTCAGGTTTCTGGATCTCAACGTTCTCCACCGTAAGAAAGCAATAAGAGGATACTTCCCACTTGTTTCTGTGGGAACCAAGGAGAAAATCACTCCTGAAAGGCTCCGGGAATGGTCACATGCCCTGTGCCTCCCCTGGGCAGCGTCTGGTTGGGGGCATAACCTGAGATAGAAGGTCATGACTGGGAAGGTATCGGCTTGTGTTCTGCCACAATGGTTGGGCTAATTGTTCCCTGTCTCATACACATGCACACATGCACACACATGTATATACACACTTAAGAACAAGCTTCAGAGTCATCAGTAATCCTTAGGGCCTGCTCCTCCTGGCTTCTCCCACCTGGGTGAGAACCTACCACTTTAAGACTTCTGGGTAAGTCATGGAAGGTGTTTCTCCTCACTGTGCCTGGCAAAGCGTAATGTTAGCTTCATCCTTGCTCAAAGCACTGGAGTGATGAGCATCTTTATATGAAAAATATATATTGCCCACAAGAGCAGTATGATGAATTTGCTCCTATCACACAACAATTTGGCTACCAATCTTTGAGTAGGCTTGTAAAAATGGCTGGGAAGAGAGGATGCTAAAACTTGTGTCTCCGAGTAACACTGATCCGGTTTAAAATTTGGAACCAGGCTGTTTCTTGTTCCTGTGTCCTCTTTTGAGAAATATTTTGAATCCATTTGAGTGAATTACTTCGATTCATTCTACTCTGGGGTGCTTAACTTTGTAACCAGAACTCTGCTGGAATTCTTTCCTCTATGAATGAATGCCCATGTTAGCAAGCATGGTGGTTAGTTCCCTGTGGCCACTGTAACAAATTACCACCAACTAGGTGGCTTCGAAGATCAGAAATTTATACTTTTAGGATTCTGGAGGCCAGAAGATTCAAGGTGTGTCCCTCTGGAGGCCCCAGGGGAGAACCCATTCTTTACCTCTTTCAACTTCTGGTAGCTGCAGGCATTCCTTGACTTATGGCCGCAACTCCCTAATGTCCACCTCTGTGGTCACATTGCTTCTTCCTCTCTTCTGTGTTAAATGGGTCTCTACCTCACTGTTATAAAGACAGTTGTCACTGATTTAGGGCTCACCAGGATAAGCCAGGATAAGTGCCTCTTCTCAAAATCCTTAATCACGTCACATGCCACAGAAGGTAATATTCACAAGCTCCAAAAATTAGGACAAGGAATACCTTTTAGGTCCACCATTCATCCCATTATACCAACAATAAAGTTCTCCTTTCATATTCTCACTTCTCTGAACAAGGAATATAATCAGTTCAAATGTAGCCCCCTCCTATGTTAGAAGGCTTACATACAAGGATATTTTGTTTAGTTTGCAAATGTATAAATCAAATGTAATGTAACTAAATGTCTTAAAACCAGCTGCTTATTCTCTCCTAGTCAGGTACAACTGCCCTGTTCTTTGCTGCCCAGCAAGGACATAATGACGTCGTGAGATTTCTCTTTGAATTTGGAGCATCCAGTGAATTTAGGACCAAAGTAAGAGAAATTTCTTGATTTCATACCCTGTTGAAGAATGTTAGCAATCATGAGTATTCATGTCTCTCCATCCATAGTGTGAATTTGTGCTTCTCTTTTTTTTTCTAAAGATTTTATTTACTTATTAGAGAGAAAGAAAGAGAGAGAGAGAGCACAAGCAGGGGGAGGGGCAGAGGGAGAGGGAGAAGCAGGTTCCCCGCTGAGCAGGGAACCTGACATGGGGCTCAATCCCAGGACCCTGGGATCATGATCTGAGCCAAAGGCAGATGCTTAACTGACTGAGCCACCCAGGTGCCCCACTCTTTTTATAAGATTTTCAAGCCTAAGAAGGTGGGTTTCACAAAGTTACTTGTAATGGCTCAGAGGTAGTCCTAGGGAATCAATTCAAAACATGACATTTTTTGATGAATCACAGACCTGTACCCATGAAACAAATAATACATCATATGTTAATTTAAAAAAGTAAAAAAAAAAATGATATTTTTACTCTGGGTTTGTAATTTTATGGGGAATTATTTAGATTCTGTCTTGCACTGGTAGCTTTCTACTTTGGGACACTAATTTTTGTTATCAGGATGGATACAGTAGCAGGTGTTTTGTAACCCCCTGTTTTCATGGGCTTTTTTTTACTTCAAGGTTAATCCCAGTGCTCTCATAGGAACTGTCAAAGTATTTAAGCCACTCTTAGTGAATCTGAGAGATTTCTAAGGAGGGCGATTTGACAGGCAGTTTACTTTCTGAGATGTCCTCACTGAACTATGTAATACATGATCACACTTTATATAGTTGGGCAAGGAAATATGATTCTTCCTTTAAAGAAGTCATTGATTCTTCATGTTCAACACACAGATAGGAAAACTTAGGTTGCAGAAAGATCAATTATGTGTTCATGATATCATTTTACATGATAATGGTTTATAGTAGGAGAATTTGAACTGCTTTAACATTTTTGGAATTATCAACTTATTTAGAGCCTAATCATAACCAAAAAAATTCCTGGAAATTTGCCTTACTTGGAATCTTTTAGGTTTTCTTAATCCTTTGTATGTGATATTTGCATATCAGGGGAGTTTCCAGTGGTTTTTTTTTCTTTTCCTGTTAAGATGCTATTAAGTAGATTTGAATTTCAGATAGGATCAGTCTGTTCTGAATGTGCCATTGGATGGTACACATGCCTCCATACATGCTGAATATAATATACAATAATCCAAAATATATGTGTGTGTATATTTTTATATTATCATTTTATTTGTCATTATAAAAGTAATACAACTAAAAATAGAAAGTTCGACAAATGTAAATCTCAACTCTTTTAACTAAGTCAGAATGATCATGCAGCACCATATGGCTGCTTCAGTCTTCTTGGTTAACAAGTTAATGCTGGCTTAAAGCCTTTGTCCCTGCACCACAGGGCCCAGAGTGCAATTCCAAATGTTTCCATTAGGTCAACTGCAGGTGTCCGAGAACTTTCCATGGGAAGAAGAGAATGTCGAGAGGCGTTGAGTTTTTATATGATCCTGTCATCAAAACTGCCTTTGTTTCAACAATTGTTCTCAACGTTATTAAAGTTATATCCCACAAAATGTGTTTTTAAAAATAAAAAGGTACAAAGATACCTGGGTGGCTCAGTTGTAAAGCGTCTGCCTTCGGCTCAGATCATGATCTCAGGGTCCTGAGATCGAGCCCCACATCGGGCTCTCTGCTCAGTGGGGAGTCTGCTTCTCCCTCTGCCTGCCACTCCCCCTGCTTGTACACATACACACACACATGCATGCAGGCGCGCGCACTCTCTCTCAAATAAGTAAAATCTTTAAAAATAAGTAAATAAGTAAAAGGTACAGGGGCACCTGAGTGGCTCAGTTGGTTAAGTGTCTGACTCTGGACCTCTGCTCAGGTCATGATCTCAGTGTCATGAGTTCAAGCCCCACATTGGGCTCCATGCTGGGTATGGAGCCTACTTAAAAAATAAATAAATAAAACAATAAAAATAAAAGGTACCAGCTCTTCTATGACAATCACCATATTTTATCTACTCTCTTACCTCATTAGGCAAAGAGAAAAATCAACAGAACGAAAGTTGGAAATGTTGGTGCTCATTGCTACTATTGCAATTTTTGTTGCCCCACACCCCACCCATACTGGCCCCCACCACCAGCCTCAGCCCTCACAGCTCAAGTGCCCCCCTGCCACAGCCTGTGAACAAGGGAGCTCTTACGACAGTGTTTCTCCAAGTGAGGCCCACCTGACACCTTCACACCACAGTCCCCTCACGTGACTGGTCAGAAAGCCTGTTTCTGGGCCTCATCAGAATCAGACCCTGTGAGGGTGGGAGACGGAGGGCAGGCATTTTGGATAAACACTCTATGCCCCAAATTTAGACACCACACTATCTTAGAGTTATGATTTGTATTTCAGAACCAGATGACATGTTCCTGCATTATTTACAATTAGGACAGATATCCACAGACCAATTCACAGAGCCAAACAAACAGCTCCCTAGCTGTAGATGGGAAAAGATAATGCCTTGGCTGCAGTACCTGAGAAAAACCATCAAGGGTTTCAGTTGACCACAGACTCAGTGAGTCAGTAGTGTGATGTGGTTGACATAAAAGCTAATTCTCATTTAGGCTGTCGAAATAAAAGTAGAGTAGTAGACGGAACAAAGGAATGTCCCATTCCCCGTCAGACCACATCTACTGTTCTGGGCTCCGATCCGTTCTAGGGCCCACATTTTAAAAGAGATCTGGACAAACTGGCACATGTTCAAAGGAAAACGCTAAGCAGGATGGTGAGAGGCTCACAGTGCAGCAGTTATCCACTCTTAATGGACGCACACCTTGTTCCTTGAAGACTATGGCCCCAGATGGTTAATCCATAAATCACCTTAATCTCAGAGGCCCGCAGCTGGAGGGGAAACCACAGGGAGAAGCCAGCCTTTGTCAAGCGGGTCTCTAGCCAGAAGACACAGGAGACTATTCGGGTAATTCCAAGACAAAACTGACTGGCACAGACTTTCTATGCTTCATTTCCTTTATTGAGAGGCAAATAGATGATTCTGCATTTGACCTGGGGAATTACTCACAATAACATTGTCCAGTAACTGTAATGTATCCCAAGCGAGTCATCCACCTGTACAACGTGATGCCTTTAGGAGGAACCTTGTCATGAATATAAAGAGAACAAGATGAAAAAGGAAAAGTGAGTTTGTTGTTATCTATGGGGTAAGTCTTTTCCAAAGCTCTCCCTCTGTAAGGAGCATCTGCTTGGTAAACATGTGCCTGCACCCTTTCTAACGTGTTGCCACTTTGCAGGATGGGGGCACGGCCCTGTTGGCTGCCAGTCAGTACGGGCACATGCGGGTGGTGGAGACGTTGCTGAAGCATGGAGCCAACATCCACGACCAACTCTACGTGAGTGCATTTTCAAGGGCACGTTAGGTGGACCCTTGCCTATCCCCTCCTCACACACAGCACTGCAGTCTAAATTCAGAGGTCGGAAATGCCACCTTCAAAAATGTTTTTTTTTTTTTAAGATTTTATTTATTTATTTGACAGAGAGAGACATATGAGAGAGAGAGCACAAGCAGGGGGAGTGGGAGGGGGAGAAGCAGGCTTCCCGCTAAGCAGGGAGCCTGATGCAGGGCTCGATCCCAGGACCCTGGGATCATGACCTGAGCCGAAGGCAGACGCTTAACAACTGAGCCACCCAGGCGCCACTCAAAGATGTTTTTAATGAACAGTAGGACTTTAATCTGAGACATCAAAGAAAAAGATTTAACCAGATGAGCTTTTTCTGTGGAGAAACACATAATCTTGTTTACCCATCTTTGTTCTACCCTCTTAAATCTCTTGTACATATGAAATATTCATATAATGTATGTACTTAGGATCTTCAAAAATCATGTGACACGTACTTACCCATAAGATAACCAGCCCAGCATATGGACTTGCTGAAAAGCAAAATAATGCTCCTGTTGTAGAGTTACCCAGGAGGAAGAGCACACATGAAGGAGAAATCAAGTTATTTGGAAGAGAAGTGAGGTTGGGGTGGTGGAAGAACTGTAAAGTACATGCACACCATCGGCCTTCAAGAGGCATCTACCGTGAGTGTGGGTCTGTTCCAGCTAATTAACAATTAGCTCATTGCCTAAAGGCTCTTTTAATTGTCACTGTCATTCCAAAGGACTTATGGCAAATGTTATCCTGGTTTTGGACAACAACAACAACAAAAATAAAACATGAGGAGATGAAGTGACTTGATAGAGTATCTTCATGAGGAGTGAAAGAACCTACTGCCAGTTACGTAGGAATCGTATTTTAGGCTATCCCACCACCAGATATTTAGCACTATGGCACCATACTTTCACAGACAAGTAGTGAGATGTGTCCATGTGAACTTTACCATTTGCACACCTTTCCTGAGTTTACACAATTGACTGCCACATCAGAGACCTCTTTGAAGTACATAGCAACGAGCATTACCCTTTTGCACTTCAAAATCTGTAACACCATTTGAACGTGTGGCTTTCCCGTTTGAATGACTGAATTACTTGATTCAGGTCTGAAAGAGTGATTCTCAGCTCTGGCTGCCATTAGAATCACGTAGGGAACTGGAAAAAAAAAGGGGGGGTCTTCCAGGCCCATTCCAGACTAATCCGGAATCTCTGAGGGCACAGCTGGGCAGCAGATGGTTCTGATGGGTGGCCAAGTCTAAGGAACCTGGGTCTACAGCTTTGGCTATTTCTTTGGCTGCATATAATGAAGTATATCTGAGAGCATGAATGAGTCTCTGTGTGTGTGTGTGTGTATGTGTGTGGTTGAACAGGAAGAGCCCAAGTCTTTGGAAAAGGAAAATGAGTTGTGATTTTCATCCCATTACCACTGATAGTCAGCAATCCAGATTGACTGGCATAGTTGTACTGTTAGATAACATTCCATCCAAAAGGCTCACCCAGGGTGGCACATCATCCTAGAAATGCAGAGTTTGGGGAGAGCCCATTCCTGTACTAAATTCCTCTCTGTTATGAAGTGACTCAAGAAATTTCATGCACTGAAACTTCCATTTTATGTAAGATGTTTACTCTTACCCAAACCATCCAAATATAATTGTTTCCACTAAAAACAATTGAAACATGGAGGATCCCCGGTCAATGACTCCTGAAAGCTTCTAGGAACAGAAGAAATGTGTCGGGTGCTGTAAAAACTGCAATGCTTGGATATCCGTTTTAGAAAATTTCTAAGAGTTACCAGCTGCTAAGAGCACCATGGATTTTCTGTGACAACACAGTAAGGAGCAGCTGAACATTTCATCCCCATATCAAACATCTGCTTAAAGATCTATACAGGCTGAGTAATTTTTTAATGATTGCCTTAAGAGGAGTCTGGCAGCTCAGCTGACACCCACCAGAAATCCAGCACCCTCCACCTGGTTGGACTTGCAGGGAAAAGCGCTTTGTATTTTAACTTGTGGTTAATGTTCCTGATGGGAGGGGTGGTAATTAACTGGGTTAGTGAGGTGTTTTCCACTAGGATGTGCTCGGGTTTTCCACTGTGGTCTAAAAATAATGAAGCTCAGCACGCTCTGTGAATGCTGTCTATGTGAAGTGAGCATCTGGGGAGGATGCATGCTCTGAGCTAATTGCTGTCTTTGCTGCCATTACCAATGACATGTCTTTAAGAAAAAAATGCCCAGAAGACATAGACACTCATTTAAAAAGAAAAAAAAAAAAAACAACACTAAAGAAAAATGGAAGCAAGCGCTTGCTTTGAGCTTTTCTGCAGGACTGCTTCGTTGTTTGTAGGTGTAGTTGCTGTGTCCTGGCTGTCAGGGAGCAAGCTCATGGATAGTCTCACCAGGGCAGTTTTTCTAGAAGCATCTTTTGTTTCAAAGCTTGGAAAAACGGTGTGTTGGGGGAACGTGGATAAAGGGGCAATAAAGAGAAAGGGGTAGGAAAGATCTAATTAAAAGGACACCTTTATTTCTGATTCATAAAACATACCAAACAGGGGCGCCTGGGTGGCTCAGTTGGTTAAGCGACTGTCTTCGGCTCAGGTCATGATCCTGGAGTCCCGGGATCGAGTCCCGCATCAGGCTCCCTGCTCGGCGGGGAGTCTGCTTCTCCCTCTCCCACTCCCCGTTTGTGTTCCTCTCTCGCTGTGTCTTTCTCTGTCAAATAAATAAATAAAATCTTAAAAAAAATATATATATATAAAAAAAAAACAACAACATACCAAACAGGTTTGGGGGACTTGTTTGTTGTTCTTATTAATAGATTTTATTCTGTGTTTGTTTTTAAACTAACACTGAGCCCTTACTTGACAAAAGAATTGAAGTGGAAAACAATATTAAATGTATGTATTTGTTAAACTAATCAAAAGGGGGTTAACCCCAAGATCCCACAACGAAAGCAGGTGGCCGCTAACGAGAAGTCTGTGCAGACAAGAGAAAAATGATGACTGGCTATTTGGACAAGCCTGGAGGCTGCTGCCAAGGGGGTGGATCATAAGCTCCATGATCAAGATTGTGTAGAGTGAACAGTCATTACATTTATTATAACTTATCTTTATAAGACTCTTTGAAGTGTTACCTTTCCACCTGACTTACTATGATATTTTAGACTATTCTTCAAAGAATAAAACACTAACCATGAATATGAAAACAAAGTGGGGGACAGAAATGGAAAGTTGTATTAAATGGATGCATTTTTAATTGGATTTCTTTTAAAATAAACGTGAAAGATGATTCAAACCCTTTCATTTTGACCTCTCTCAGGATGGAGCCACTTCTCTCTTCCTCGCTGCCCAAGGTGGCTACTTGGATGTGATTCGATTATTGTTGTCTTCAGGAGCAAAAGTCAACCAGCCAAGGCAGGTAATGTCCGTGTGCGCAGAGCGGTGGGGCAGGGAGGGCCTGCCATCCTGCAGCAGCTCCTGAGATAACTGGTCAACTCTGGGCATCATTCAACTCTTTCACCTCGGTGATGAAGCTAATCTTGGATTAGGGCTTCTCTTGTCCTTAGCTTTGGGCTCACCTGCAAGCCTGTGATACCAGGCTGACTTCACCATTTACTGTTTTGGAAACTTGGGTGTTTGGTGTCTGAGGTCAAGTACATACTCAGCCACCTCCTGTTCAAATAAATTATGGCTGCACTGAGGTTAAGAGAGTGGGCTGGCCTGGAACATAGGTAAATAGAGGTGAGTCAGGTAGCCTTGCCCCTGCCCCGTCACTCCACTGATATGCTGCCTCATCTCTTAACCCCTTTTCTTCTTCGACCACACCAAAGAGGAGCCCGTTACCCACTGGGAATCATTAGTAGGTTCCACACCTTCATCTCTCACAGTTATAACACCACTGAGAATTAATTTACCAACAGCCAGCTAACACCTAGCAAATCAGTTGATACTTAAAGGAACAGAACTACCAGGTAATATAGGTCACACTTTATGAATAGTAAAGAACCATCCAAATCTAAGGCATTATAATTAGCTTCTCTTATATTGGAATGATTTCTGCACTAATTAATTTGTTTTTAACAAAACATTTCAGATTAAAGTAACATTACTTTAAAGGTAGTTTTCTCGGGAAAAGTCAAGCTGATTTCTTCCCAGTAAATGAAACCCAGGCAGATCCCCACTGTAATGTAACCTAATACATAATGTAACATATGCCTATATGTTCACATAGGGAAGGTTGGTCTGAGCTCTTGGCCCCAGGCTTCTTCAGTCTTTAGAAATCCAAGCACATAGGAAGCTGAGAAAGGGCCTTTGGGCAAAGTGGGTTTGAGGTCAGGAATCCTGAGTTCTAGATCCAGCTCTGCCAATAACTAGCTGTGTGGCTTGGAACTAGTGAATCAACCTCTCTGGACTTCTCTTCCTTCATCTGAAAATTAGGAGGTTGGACAGGATGATCCTGACAATCTCTTCAAGATCCCCGTTTTTAATAACTGTTTTATTCAGTATTCAGATTTCTTAGGCACTTAGCATATGCCAGATACTGCTATGAACGTGAGATTAAATTTTTAGAATTTTAAAGATATTCTTAGATTTAGATGGCCCCAGGAATACTCTTGGGAAAGGAAAGCTTTTAGAAAAAGTTGCACTTCTATACCTGCCAGAGTTAACATTTGGGGATTGGAGCTTAATATTTTCTTGTTGGTCCTTCTTATTTTGAAAGTATTGATTGGTTCTGAATCAGACGCTTCATTTTGCCAAAGTTAATAAACAGAGCTGGTCATTTTTAGATTGCAGAACTTTGACTTGGAGGCCATTATTGAGGGTACCACCGTAAATTTAGAAATGAAAGATTGTCAAGATTATTAGGCCTCTCTGTCTGTACATCTTTCTGAAATAAACTCTGGCACTTTGACAAATCTATTCGTAAAATAAATTGTATTAACCATATGCCTAAGGTACTATTCATAAAAAAGACAAGTTGATAGAAGAGATTATATTTCAGGAGGGGGGAAAGATGGTGGAGGAGTAGGGGACCCTATTTCAACTGGTCCCCAGAATTGAGCTGGATATCTACCAGACCACTCTGAGCACCCACAAAACCAGCCTGAGATGTAAGAAGATCTGGATCTCTACAAACAGAATATCTCAGGCGGTTGGTTTTGAGGTATGAAGTGGGGAGCCCTGATTCTGCGGGCAGATATCGGAGGATAAACGGCAGCGGGAGGGTGCCCGGCCGTGGGGATCCTACATCGCTGGTGAGTGACAGCTTCGTGCGCGGGGGACGGGGTAGACTCACAGGCCGGTAGTGGCGGGGAAAGGACTTTAGGGCAGCCCCCGGGGCGGGAACCCGGAGTGGCGGGGTCTCGCGCTCACGAACTGGGAGCGGCTGGCGGTTTTAGAAGCACAAAGGGCAGAGACTTGCTCTGACCTGGAGGCATGACTGGGAGCACTGCGGAGGGGCGCACAACCCAGGACGCTGCAGTTTATAGCAGCATGGACAGAAACGGAGACAGTGTGGCCTGGAGAGCTCACTGAAGAACAGACTGCAATCTCTCTGCTCTGAGGCAGAGGGTTGGAAACAGTCTCTTCTGCTCTGACTCGCAGAAGAGACGCAGAAAGCCGCCAGGGAAAGCCGCCAGAGAATAAAAGCCCCCAAAACTGATTACCGCTGAGCCCATCCCCCACCACAGGGGGGCAGGGCAACTCCACCCAAACAGGGTTGCCTGAGTAACAGCGCGGCAGGCCCCTCCCACAGAAGACAGGCTGGGAACACAAGAGGCCAGCAACTCTAAGGTCCCAAGAAAACAGGTGCATCTTGCTTGGGTTCTGGTCAATAATTTGGACTCTATACATTCCCTCAAACACCCATCAACAGAATGACTAGGAGGAGGAGCCCCCAAAATAGAAAAGACTCAGAGATGGTGACTTATGCTGCAGATTTACAAATGGATGCAGATATAACCAAGATGTTGGAGATGGAATTCAGGCTAGCAATTTTGAGGACAATGGCTAGAATGGAGAAATCAATTAATGGCAACATAGAATCTCTAAGGGCAGAAATAAAAGGTGAATTGGCAGAACTTAAAAATGCTATCAGTGAGATCCAATCCAATCTAGATAATCTAACAGCTAGGGTAAATGAGGCAGAAGAGCGAATAAGCGACCTAGAAGACAATATAATAGATAAAAAGGAAAAGAGGAGGCCAGGGAAAAACAACTCAGAATCCATGAAAATAGAATCAGAGAAATAAGTGACACCATGAAGCATTCCAATGTCAGAATAATTGGAATCCCGGAGGGAGTGGAGAGAGACAGAGGACTAGAAGATGTATTTGAGCAAATTGTAGCTGAGAACTTCCCTAATCTGGGGAATGAAACAAACATTCAGGGACTCCTGGGTGGCTCAGTTGGTTAAGCGACTGCCTTCAGCTCAGGTCATGATCCTGGAGTCCTGGGATCGAGTCCTGCATCGGGCTCCCTGCTCAGCAGGGAGCCTGCTTCTCCCTCTGACCCTCCCCCCTCTCATGTGCTCTCTGTCTCTCTCATTCTCTCTGTCTCAAATAAATAAAATCTTAAAAAAAAAAAAAAAAAAGAAACAAACATTCGAGTCCTAGAGGCAGAGAGGACCCCTCCTAAGATCAAGGAAAACAGGCCAACACCCGGGCATGTAATAGTAAAACTTGCAAATCTTAGAACCAAGGAAACCATCTTAAAGGCAGTTAGGGGGAAGAGATTCCTTATGTACAGAGGGAGGAACATCAGAATAACGTCAGACCTATCCACAGAGACCTGGCAAGCCAGAAAGGCCTGGCAAGACATATTCAGGGTACTAAATGAGAAGAACATGCAGCCAAGAATACTTTATCTGGCAAGGCTTTCATTTAGAATGGATGAGAGATGCAGAACTTCCACGACCGGCAGAAACTGAAAGAATATGTGACCACTAAGCTGGCCCTGCAAGAAATATTAAGGAGGGGGTTCTATAAAAGGAGAAAGACCCCAAGAATGATCTACAACAGAAATTTACAGGAACAATCTATAAAAACAACGTCTTCACAGACAACATGATGACAATTAATTCATATCTTTCAATAATCACTCTCAACATGAATGGCCTAAACACTCCCATAAAATGGCACAGGGTTGCAGATTGGATAAAAAGACAGGACCCATTCATATGCTATCTACAAGAGACTCATTTTGAACCTAAAGATACCTCCAGATTGAAAGTGAAGGGATGGAGATCCATCTTCCATGCCAGTAGACCTCAAAAGAAAGCTGGGGTAGCAATTCTTATATCAGACAAATTAGATTTTAAACTAAAATCTGTAATTAGAGACACAGAAGGACACTATATCATTCTTAAAGGGTCTATCCAACAAAAAGATATAACAATTGTAAATATCTATGCCCCCAACATGGGAGCAGCCATCTATATAAGCCAACTGTTAACCAAAATAAAAAGTCATATTGATAACAATATGTTAGTTGTAGGAGACCTCAATACTCCACTCTCAGCAATGGACAGATCATCTAAGCAGAAAATCAACAAGGAAACAAGAGCTTTGAATGATACCTTGGACCAGATGGACCTCATAGATATTTACAGAACATTCTACCCTAAAACAACAGAATACTCATTCTTCTCGAGTGCACATGGAACTTTCTCCAGAATAGACCATATACTGGGTCACAAATCAGGTCTCAACCGATACCAAAAGATTGAGATTATTCCCTGTATATTCTCAGACCACAATGCTCTAAAACTGGAACTCAATCACAGGAAAAAATTTGGCAGAAATTCAAACACTTGGAAGCTAAAGACCACTCTGCTCAAGAATGTTTGGGTCAACCAGGAAATCAAAGAAGAACTTAAACAATTCATGGAAATCAATGAGAACGAAAACACATCGGTCCAAAACCTATGGGATACTGCAAAGGCCGTCCTAAGGGGGAAATAAATAGCCATCTAAGCCTCACTCAAAAAAATAGAAAGATCCCGAATTCACCAACTAACTCTACACCTTAAAGAACTAGAGAAAAAGCAACAAACGATGCCTAAGCCACGCATTAGAAGAGAAATAATTAAAATTAGAGCAGAAATCAATGAATTAGAAACCAGAAACACAGTAGATCAGATCAACGAAACTAGAAGTTGGTTCTTTGAAAGAATTAATAAGATCGATAAACCACTGGCCAGACTTATCCAAAAGAAAAGAGAAAGGACCCAAATTAATAAAATTATGAATGAAAGGGGAGAGATCACGACTAACACCAAGGAAATAGAAACAATTATTAGAAATTATTATCAACAACTATATGCCAATAAACTGAGCAATCTGGATGAAATGGAGGCCTTCCTGGAAACCTATAAGCTGCCAAGACTGAAACAGGAAGAAATTGACAACCTGAATAGGT